TGTGTGTGTGTGTGTGTGTGTGTGTGTGTGTGTGTGTGTGTGTGTGAGTGTGTGTGAGTGTGTGTGTGTGTGTCTGGGGTTTGTCCTCATCTTCCCAGCAGCAGCAAAGAAAGGAGGCAGGCAGCTTTAGTAAGCGATGGCCATATTTAGGCAAGACTTTCATGACTTCCCAGGCACTTTGTTGCTCCCTCTCTTTAATAGTCTTTGTGTGTGTGTGTGTGTGTGTGTGTGTGTGTGTGTGTGTGTGTGTGTGTGTGTTGTGTTTGTATTTGAGCGCTGCACAGTTTACATTTTGACGTAATGCTGCTGAACTCAAAGTTAAGTCATCTCTGTCACTCTCACATGGATTAATAAATTCCTCTCCTTTCTCTCTCACTCTGGTTATCCTTTCTTCATCTTTTCTTGAACTCCTTACTGTACCTCACCTTTCTTTCTTTCTTTCTTTCCTCCCCCTCTTTTATTACCTTTTCCTCCATTATAACTCCAACCCCCTCCTCCCTGTATCACCTTCCTCATCCTTCTTCCTCTTTCTCACTCTCCGTCCTCAGGGGAGTTGTTCATGGCGGACGGCCGGCTAAAGGAGGCCCAGTTCTGCATAGCCGAGGCCAGCTCACTCTCCCCCAACTCGTACTCGGTGCTGCTGCAGCGGGGCCGCATTGCCGAGCTCCGGGGCCAACTGGACGACGCCAAGGGCCTGTATGACGAGGCCCTGGCCATCCATCCCACAGGAGAGAGCACACTGGTGCACATGGTGAGAGTCAGCGAAAGCTCAAGAAGCTGCTAAATTGGAATTAATGTAATATACTGTTCAGTGGTCAGTATGCACACACACACACACAACATGCGTGGATACACTAATACATTTGAATCCCTTTACTTAAATTACCACTGACGTGAGATGCAGGCCGAGCATGTGCACACACACACACACACACACACACACGTATGCACCCCAACGTTCACACGCGTCTCAATGCACACATTTAAAATGCTTTGCTTGAGTTCACTGCGTTACATTACACAGTATGTGACGCAAGAATTTCAGAATCAACTCAGGCTCAGGCAAGCAGGCACAAACTAATTTTATGTTTTTCTTAAATCCACTAAATTAAATTAGAATTAGAACAAAATTATTTTTTTTTCTGCTCTCTGTAGCTGTACACAGGCATGCTAAACAAAGAGTACACACACACACATAATGTAAACACACAGCCAGTTGTATAGGCACATGTAGTATCACATGATGTCATCCCTGTGACATCTTTGTCTTTTCATGCCAAAGTTATTGCATTTCAACAGGTCAAAAATCGATGACATCCCACTGTTAATAAAATCAATAAAGTTCTTGAGAATACCAAAATACTCGCCCCGTTTTCAACAGAGTAATACCAACTAAACAAGTTCATGAATAAATCATGATAACAATGTCTATGCTTTTATTAAAGGATTCAACAATGAAGATCAGGTGGAATATCTGTGATTTTTCATCACAGCAGTAATGTAATTCCAGCATGTTTAATCAATATCTAATCAATAGCTCATTAGGCTGAATCAGGTGTGCTGGTAGAGCAGATGCCTCCTTTTGATTTTCCTGTGCACTAGGTTTGCCTCCTAATTCAACTATACTGTATGAAGCTGTATGCAAGTGTTGACTCATTCTGAGAAGACAGCAACATTAGCTGATGACATTTGTGTTTTTGATTTGTAATTAAACAGAAATGATGAGGCTACGTGGCTATTAGCTGCTAAAATAAGGCTATAGGGTATGTTAGCCTCATATACTCAACTATACTGTATGTACAAGTGTTGAGGACTGAGACGGCTTAGAGGACAGCAATGTTAGCTAATGACGTTTGTGTTTTTGATTTGTAATTAAACAGAAATGATTAGGCTAGCTTGCTATTAGCTGCTAATATTAGCTTGCTACCTGGCAGTAGCAATAGCAGCTGAACATATTACTCTTGGAAATGAACTCTCTTCTGTTTTTTGAAAAGGCTAACGAAAAGACAATTTTAGCATCATATACTCAACTATACTATCTATACTGATACTAATGAAGTATGTTAAGTTTAGTTCCTCTCTGAGAAGAAACAGAAATGTTATCTAATAAAATATGTAATTCAGCAGAAAATATTAGGCTAGCTTGCTGTTAGCTGCTAATATTAGCTCTCTCAAATTGGCAGCTGCTTATTGGCAGCTGCTTATGAGTCTTTTTTCCTCCCCTGTGCATTGTTGTACTGTGTCAGTGTCACAATCGTGTTCATAATGATTAATTACCACATTATGGCTCAGTCATATTCTGGGATGTGTTGATTTGTTTCGGGCAAACTTCAAATTTCAGAAAATAGAAACAAACAAAAATTTGGGCCATAGCCAACAAATGACAAATACTGCTCAAAGACTCGCTTCCTCTCTCCTGATCACTCCCCCACATTTCTTTCATTTCATCTGAGCAGATCCTCTCTCTCTCTCTCTCTCTCTCTCTCTATCTCTCTCTCTCTCACTCACACTCCTGCAGTAGAAAGATCCACTCTCGCCCACTTCCACCCACTCTCTCCCAGCTTCCCAGTTCCAGATGATCCACTGGATTAACTGTGGCTGCTCTGCCCTTTGAACTTTCTCTGTTGTCATGGTGAAAGGACCAGAAAGGGATATTCCTGAATCCAAGACTCGCACCGCCAGACACGTGCTCACACACACACACACACACACACACACACACACACACACACACACACAATATGTCCGTGGTCTCCATAGTGACCATAGATGTGCAGGTTGATATCGCTTTGACATAAGTACTGGCCACCTTGTGACCACATAAGGCCAATGCTTTTGCTCCTATTGTGCACTTTAGTGTTAGTGTGTGTATCTGTGTGTGTGTAGAAGCGAAGTCCAACTGGGGTAGACAGAGGTAAGTGTCTCTTCCATATTTGGCCTGTGGGAGAACCAATCCCAGGGGGTGTAAAGCTGAAACAAAGCCAGCTGGCAGTGTCCTACTCTGGGTCTCTTACAGGGCAGATGTGTTCCCAGTCTGAAAGTGTGAGTGTGCGTGTGCATGTGTTGTGTTTGTGCCTTCCTCCATGGATTTGGCACACATGTGGACTATTTGGACCATTTTTTTTTGTATGCATGTATTAAGGCACATGTTGAAGTAGGCACTAATAGACCCAAATACAAAAACGCTGCTATCTGGAGTACTGTATGTGGTGAATTATATATTAGACACGCTAATGGGGCTGTGTGGTAAAATACTTGCATCTTTGCATTGTGATGGAGCCTAAGTGGGACAGTGTGTGGGACATTTTATTTGGAGCGCTACCCATTTTCAGTTTCTGGCTTGCATCAGCCTGCCAGAATACAACCTACAGTTGCTGCTACTCTGTGGCTCTCTGGATTCATGCGTTTATTTTTGTACTGTATCTGCTTGTGGACACTTTGTGTGCCAGTGGCCCATTTATTGAGCTCTGCCTAAGGGGGAATTATGATGATATTCTTAGTTGATATTCTTACACTTGAGCTATTAATCTGCAAAAGTACATACTGTACTTTCCATGAATGTCCTTAAGATCTTTATTTGAAGTTATTAGGGATACACATAAAAGAAGATGTACTCCAACTGTGGCTTCAAAATGAAATGGAAGCTGATTTTTTTCATTTTTGTTATGGACACAAATTACCATTATGAGACGGAGACATTTTGCCTTTATTGGACAGTTTACAGCGTAGGGAGAATCAAATTGGGGTCATCGCGGTCATTACGTCAATGCCATTTTTACAGGGATCTGAATGCAACAATTATTTTAATATTTTATGACAATGATCACACAATAACTGAAACGCTTTATGCTTCATTTTTGTACTTTTACTTTTCTATCTCATTTTTTCTTTCTCTTTCTCTCGTTTTTGAAGCCATTGTAAAGGCATTACATCAGTCAGAGCTGCTTGCCCATGAAACCACAGCAGTACAACACTGAACATTATTTTTTAATGCCTCCTCTGAGATGATTTTCCACTTGAAAAATCTAATTTTCTCTTAAAGGACTAGCTTGACATTTTGGGGGGAAATGCTTATTAGCTCACTTGCTACCAGTTGGAAGAAAAGATCCATGACACTCATGTCTGTGTGCTACTGCCGGGAGCTAATTAGCTTAGCTTGAAAGCAGTGGGAAACAGCTGGCCTAGTAATTTGTTGTTTTACTGGGAGTTACGTACTGTGACCATTTGGAGATGAAAATGTCATTCAAGAAATAGACAGACCCCGGGGCTCCCTCTAAAACCATAGACTGTCATTTTAATATTTGTACACTCATCAAACTAACTCTGCTGGCTGTAGTAGCTTTTCTTTTTTAATACTGTGTTAATAGTTTCTATTTTTGTAGATTTGAGGAGCATTTTGACTGACATCGGCAATTGAATTTATTTTCTTATAAAAGCAGAACAGGCAGTGGAGCAAAGGGACTTTTTTTTTTTTCCGAGGTTCAAGACAGTATTGCATAGCTTCGCCCCGAGCCAACCAGAGTGGAGTGAAGTCGTAATTCCCTCCACAGTAGTCGCAGCAGATGAGGAAAAAGGGAAATGTGAGTAAGGGAAACCCATAACGAGATGCCATACAGCACAGAAGCCCAGCAGCCCCTGCTGTGTGCTTCATCATAACACACACCACCATCTTCCCTTATTCATCGCACGCCACTTCACTCACTCCACCTCTACTTATCATCCTCAACTGTGTCCACATGGTGTGTGTGTGTGTGTGTGTGTGTGTGTGTGTGTGTGAGTGTGTGAGAGACAGAGAGAGAAACAGTGATCAGACAGTGACTCACAGTTCTGGTCAGCTGCTGGTTTCAGAGTATTTTTGGATGGGAGAGGGTGTGGTAGTTAGGCAAACCAGTACACGATAGGACTTTGGCATGCTGCGTGTGTGTGTGTGTGTGTGTGTGTGTGTGTGTGTGTCAGCGTATATGTGTGCCAACGGTTAGCTACAGATTTATAGTTTAATTTCTCGGCTGTTACAGTCCACAGGCAACAATCCGATCTAATATTTCATTTCATCCATCAGGGCATAAGCAGTGTCAGCCTTTTACACATTTGTCTGTCTGTGCTGTTCACCTCATTATGGTAAGTGTTTTGGTTAACGTGTATGTGTGGCATGTGGTGCATGTGTGTGTGTGTGGGTGTGTGTGTGTGTGTGTGTGTGTGTGTGTGTGTGTTTCGTTGGGTGGCTGATCCTGAAACGCGGCCCAGCCTTGCTTCCGGCGGTGGTATGAAATTCATCTGACCCACTCCCAACATCCTCCACATCTCATAACTCCTGTTCGGTAGTGGAGCCTGCTCTGAGTCAGACACACACACACACACACACACACACACATACACAGTGTTAACGCGCACACTCTTTACGTTTCCTCCATTCCAACAGAATATTCGTAGACTGCTTCACATATGCACGTATACTCTCAAGGACGAGGAATTGTGCTCATTGAATTAATCGCGTTCCAATTATCAAATGCCCCCCATCGCTCTCTCTCTCTCCCTTTCTCTCTCTCCCTTTCTCTCTCTCTCTCTCTCTTCCTGTCTCTCTTGCTCTCTCTCCTCTCTGTGTGGATGGGGGGTGGTTGTCAGCTGATTAGATAATGCAAATACATTATTTATAACACTTTGCACGTTCTCACCGCTTTATGGGATTGCCTAGCAACCACAGAAATATATTGAGCAAGACCTCTGATAACCACAGAGAGATAGAGAGAGAGA